ATATATGTAATATATTACATATATAAATATATAATATAAAAATATATAATATATTTAAATATATATAAATATATATATATAAAATATAAAATGAAATAAAATATAGATAAAATATACAAGATATATACGTTATATATATGAAATATATATAATATATATCTTAAATATATAGTTAAAATATATATTAAAATTTTTATATAAATATATATTAAATATACATTAAATGTACATTTTTATTTTTTTACATTATATATGTAAGTATAAAAATATACTTTATATACTTTATCTATATTTTATTTTATATATGTTTGTAATATATATTTATATTATATATATATAAAATATATGTAATATATGTAATATATTACATATATAAATATATAATATAAAAATATATAATATATTTAAATATATATAAATATATAATATATAAATATATTATATATATGAATGTATAAAAATAAGTTTCTATAAAATATTTAAAATATAGATAAAATAAAGAAATATATATTTTAAAGGAACATCTCTAAATATATATAATATATTTTATATAATTACATAAATATAATTATATGTACATATATAATATATGTATAAATAATAATATATAAATATACATAAAATATATAAATAATATATCTAAATATAGATAATATATATGAATATAAAAAAATAAATTTCTCCAAAATATCCAAAATACAGATAAAATAAAGGGATGTATATATTTTGAAAGGAATATTCGTAAATATACGTTAAATCTCTTTTTATATAATTATATAAATATATTATCTGTAAATAATATTATATAAATATATTATATATAAATGTATAATTGTATAATATAAAAATACATATAATGTTAATAATAAATATAAATATATAAAATATCTTATATAGAATACATAAATATATAAATATGTATTATACTATATATGAATACATAAGTATATGAATATATTATATATTTATTTGCATATATAAATATACGAATATATATTATATTGCATTATATAAATAAATATATAAATGTATAAATATACATTTATATATAATATAGAAATGTAAAAATATATTATACATTATATAAAACTTTATTGTATATTATAGATATTATATGCATTATATATATCATATTGTGTATTATATTATATATTATATTGTATATTATATTGTATATTATATTACATATATAGTATATATAC